ACACACACACACACACATTCATATAAATTTGTGTGTATGTATGTGTGAAAAGATTTCTAGAAGACTGGCAATATGTAGGTAGCACTGAGGTAGCAATGTTTTTTCTCTACTTGGTTGAACAATGAACAGTGCATCCATTTATAAAGGATAACAGGGTGTTTTATCCCTGTCTATTTTAATAGATGAAATGTGACACGCGCTGTCAGTTTCTCTGCTCTGCTGCCGAATGCGTGTTTAAGTCGTCAGCCGTGGCGACTCCAGTGTAACACTTGTTCTCTGGCTGGCGATTTTCTGCTAATCCCTGTGGTTGTGTCTGGAGCTCGCGGGAGGATTTGTGCTGTCCTGGACTCCATGCTGACACTCACAGCCCCGTCCGGACACGGTTATCAGGGGAAGAGTGTGTATATGCAGCGCCCAAATGAAGCTCCAGCAAACCCGTGGCCAGCGGTCTGTTGTGCCTGTGGCCTGACAAAACCCAGCAGCAGAAATCCATAAAGATTTTACAGACACCCTACCGCATGCAGATGCTGTCATCCGGGAAACCCAGGAACGTTTGTGACTATTTGTTTCCCACTTTAACACCCCATTCAGGTCTTGGAAATTATGAGGGATAATTGGGTGTTTCTTTAGCAATGGCCACATTTTAAGGTCCCAGGGGTTTATTAAAAGTAACAGAAACTATTAAAACTAATTGGACAACTTTATTCTATTAGTTATACAACTGACTATTATGTGATTATAGATTTTATTGTGCTATCCTTTTTCAATCTTAAAAATATAAAATATTTAAAATATTTTTAAATAAATAATAAAAATAAGCGTTACATTAAAAAATGTATGATAATCTAAAAAGCAGTATTTATTTCAGTATTTATTATTGTATAAAATGTTTATATATATATATATTTTTTTTTTTTAATTATAAGACTCCCTGTATTGTAGTAGTTGTATCAGAATTTCCGACCAATTCCAACCAATTTCACAACCAATGCTTTTGTAATTTGAAAAGTTTTAATAAAAGTTAGTGTACTAAGTGATACAGCAGCATCAAGGAAGAGCTTGAGATTAAATATGATGCAGGTAATGTGTGAGGAAAACTTTAAGGTAAAATTTGATGTAATGTTTCATTTGTATCATTTCAAACATGTTTTTTTTTGTCAAATTATGCAGAAAGAAAGAACATTTTTGTGTGTTTTATTATTTATCTATCTATCTATCTGTCTGTCTGTCTGTCTGTCTGTCTATCTATCTATCATCTATCTATTTATTTATTTTTAAAATAAACTTATAATTCATTATATTTATTTCAAATAATAATATATAATAATGTTATTTTTTTGTCAAATTATGCAAAAAGAAAGAAAAATTGTATTTGTTTTATTATTTATTCACGTATTTATTTATTTATTTATCCTTTACATTTTATTTATTTATTTATAAATTAAATAAATAAAATTTATTTATTTATTTAATTTATTATTATAATTTGTGTATTCATTTATTTATTTTTATTTAGGATAAATGCTTAGTGAGCTAAAGGACTGTCATTTTATTCCAAAAGTGTCTAAAATTTAATTTCCACCACCAAAATTTCCATCTCAAGATAGCAAAATATATAGCTATCATTTGAAATGTGATGGGAATAGTCACTGTTCATACAGACGTCTCAGAATAGTAAATAAATAGCAAGCATTTATTATTGTATAAAATGTTTATATATATATATATTTTTTTTTTTTAATTATAAGACTCCCTGTATTGTAGTAGTTGTATCAGAATTTCCGACCAATTCCAACCAATTTCACAACCAATGCTTTTGTAATTTGAAAAGTTTTAATAAAAGTTAGTGTACTAAGTGATACAGCAGCATCAAGGAAGAGCTTGAGATTAAATATGATGCAGGTAATGTGTGAGGAAAACTTTAAGGTAAAATTTGATGTAATGTTTCATTTGTATCATTTCAAACATGTTTTTTTTTGTCAAATTATGCAGAAAGAAAGAACATTTTTGTGTGTTTTATTATTTATCTATCTATCTATCTGTCTGTCTGTCTGTCTGTCTGTCTATCTATCTATCATCTATCTATTTATTTATTTTTAAAATAAACTTATAATTCATTATATTTATTTCAAATAATAATATATAATAATGTTATTTTTTTGTCAAATTATGCAAAAAGAAAGAAAAATTGTATTTGTTTTATTATTTATTCACGTATTTATTTATTTATTTATCCTTTACATTTTATTTATTTATTTATAAATTAAATAAATAAAATTTATTTATTTATTTAATTTATTATTATAATTTGTGTATTCATTTATTTATTTTTATTTAGGATAAATGCTTAGTGAGCTAAAGGACTGTCATTTTATTCCAAAAGTGTCTAAAATGTAATTTCCACCACCAAAATTTCCATCTCAAGATAGCAAAATATATAGCTATCATTTGAAATGTGATGGGAATAGTCACTGTTCATACAGACGTCTCAGAATAGTAAATAAATAGCAAGCCTTGTATAAACACCGTTAGCAGACAAACTAAACTAGTCTGAGTGTGTTTTAAGAGAGTTTGTTTATAAAAGTCCACACGCAGGGCCAAAAGCAGTTAGCGCTAAGTGGGTGACGTTGACATATCCTCGTATCAGTTGCGTCAGTCTGGGCTGTTGTGAAAATGCAGTAAACTGAGCTGTGTTCAGGTGTTGAGGGTGTGTTTTCCGGCACAGTTAATGGCTGCCTTCGCACTGTTATTTGGAAACATTAATAAATGAGCGCAGCGGATTGCTATTCGCCTTGTCTCTTGATGTTTCAGGCTGCTTAGCAATACCCAGGTATTATGTTTTGTAGAAGATAAGAGGAATTCATCCCCTTGTCCTCCATATTCTCTCATTAC